AGCAGATGGAGGGAGAACACGAGCAAGGATGTCAGGACCACGGGGGGTGCACCCACCCACTGAGACAGTGGGGCTGATCTATTGGGAGCTCACCAAAGCCAGCTGGACTGTGACTGAAACAGCATGGGATAAAACCGGACTCTCTCATCATGGCGAACAATGAGGACTGATGAGAAGCCAAGGTCAATGGCAAGGGGTTTTGATCCTACTTCATGTTCTGGCTTGATGGGAGCCTAGCCAGTTTGGATGTTCACCTTCCTAGACATGGACGGAGGGGGGAGGACCTCGGACTGTCCACAGGGCAGGGAACCATGACTGCTCTTTGGATAGGAGAGGGAGGGGGAGAGGAGTGGGGGGAGGGGGAAAAGAGAGGGGGGAGGGGGAGAAGAGTGGGGGGGAAATGGGAGGCTGGGTGGAGGCGGAAACTTTTTTTTTCTTATTCTCAATAAAAAAAAAACAATTATACAACTCATTTCAATTTCTTTATATTAAGCAAGTTAAAAACAAAGTTATGTTAAATGTTAACAATTTGGCTATGTCTAAAGTTTTACAGGCTGGATTCAGGTCCATGTCAGAATAGAAGGGGTCTTAAAGGCCAGAGAGATGGCTCAGAGGCTACGAAAACTTGCTATTCTTATTCAAAAATAAATAAATAAATAAATAAAACACCCAGATTCAGCAACCATATCAGACAGTTCACAACTACTTGTGACTCCATTCCAGGAGACCTAACACCTTCTTCTGGCCACCATAGGCATATGTATGCATATGGCACACATGAACTCACAAAGGCCCATAGTCATACACATAACAATTAAAACAACAGCTGGGCAGTGATGGCACACACTTTTAATCCCAGCACTTGGGAAGCAAAGGCAGGTGGTTCTCTGTGAGTTCAAGCTCAGCATGGTCTACAGAATGAGCTCCAGGACAGGCTCGAAACCTTATCTCAAAAACAAAAAATAAATAAAAAATAAAACAACAATAATAAATATTTTTAAAAGAGGCTCAGGATCCAGTAGTCAATACTAATGATGATAGTGATAATAATATAAACATAAAATACAAAGAGAATAGGCAGTCAAAATTTAAAAATGAATAATTTACTTACTCTGAAATTTAAATGCACTGATAAACAGGGACAGCATTTTTAGGGAGAAAAGAAAGAAAGATATGGACTATTGAAATTGTAAAAAAGTCTACATAGATGGAAGTAATGGAGTTTAGAGATATGAAGATCTCCTAAAACTCTCAAGTCCAATAGCCTCAGCCTCCTGATTCAAGCTTTCACTTGTTGGTAGAGCACTTGCTTAGCTTACCATTCCATCCACAGAATTGGGGTGGGGTGGGGTGTTACTACTGTATTCCAAGTAGACTGAACTCCCATTTACCTTGGTGAACTCCTCTCTCGATTACTCGAAACTCTTCTGTCTCCAAACAAGAGCTTGAGCTGGGTTTGATGAGCTGACATCCTATACGAGAAGAAAGACACATTCATGAAAGCAGATCAAGCAAGAAAGGATATACCTTTCCATGACTTAGAAACAACAGTTCCAATAACAGCAATGAAATACTGCTAAAGACCCCACTGAGTACAAACCCCTTTATGTGAAAAAGGTACTGACTTCTTTCCCTTTAAGCCTAAAGTGATGGTTACAAGAACAAGACAGAAACACTAATACTGAACCAGTGGGACAAGTTCACCAGGTAAAAGTTTTGGACACTAAGTATGACTACCTGATTTACTTGTCTAGGACATGGTAGAAGGAAAGAACTGACTCCCACAAATTGTATACTGACTTTTAGATGTGTACTGTGACAAAGAATAAATGTAGACATTTTTAAGCACTAATATTAATCAAATTGAAAAGAAAGTGAAAGAAAAATTTGAGACAGGTTTCTTAACTGTGTCACTCTAATTGGCCTAAAACTTTGTAGACCAGACTGGCTGTGAACTATAGAAATGCCTGTCTCAATTTCCTGGAGTACAAGGATAAAAGGCATGTGCCACCAAATCCACAAGATTCTTATTATTATAGAGAAAAAGATTACACTAGTAGTTAAATATTTAAGTGTATCAAAATCACATGGATGGACCATTAAAACAGAGATGATCAGTATTCTTGATTCAGTTGTCAAAGATAGTCTGAAAACGACCTTTTAGTAGAGCAGAAGAACAATACTGGTGATTTTAGGACTGTCTTTAAAACTACAATTGGTTAAAATACAGTAGGGCAGAGTTAGAGGCCTATTTCTCATTCCTCTCTCTCCTCTTCTCTTCTTCTCTCTTTCTCTCTCTCTCTCTCTCTCTCTCTCTCTCTCTCTCTCTCTCTCTCTCCTTTCTTGTTTTTTTTTTTTTTTTTTTTTTTTTTTTTTTTTTTCAGATAGAGTTTATGTAGTCCTGGCTGTTCTAGAGTTCAATATCTAGACCAGGCTGAACTCAAATACACAGAGAACCTCTTACCTCTGCCTCCCTAGTACTGGGGTTATTAAAGGTGTTATTTTCTATTCTTCTGTTATTTTTAACTGTCCTGAGAGCTGCATGACGTATTCTAAAAAGTAGAAAATTCATAGGTATGATAGCTCAGCAGGTAAAGGTGCTTGGTGCCAAGTCTGACAACCTAAGTTCCATCCCTAGAACTCACATGATAGGAGATGACTCCCAAAATCTGTCCTCTGAACTCCACTCATGGGCTATGATACACACACACACCATAAAAAAACAAAATGTAATTAGAAAAATACACATTTTTTTGTTCTATAAGAGTCTATGGAATGAGGGGAACCTCACCTAATGAGGCCAGGTTCTGGTAGTTCTCCAGCATCACCTCTCTGTAAAGGTTCCTTTGTTTTGTGTCCAATAAAGTCCATTCTTCCTGGGTGAAGTCTATAGCCACATCCTCAAAGGTCACTAACTCCTACAATCACACACACTTGGATTTTAGCCAACTAACATCTCCATCCAAGTTCACAGGACAATGAAGATGAAAATTCAGTTACAAAGAGTTGGGAGTTCTCCAGCAGTCCATGCAAGAGTTCAGTGAATAGCCCTAGGCACTCTTTATGTCTATCTCGCTGCTATTAATTTTCACTTTTACATCTTAATTTTAAAGACAGGGTTGGCCAGATTGGCTGGCCCTAAACTCTCTATTTTCCCACCTTTACCGATCCAGTGCTAGGGATAAAGACATACACCACTGTGCCCAGACTCCACCCTTATGTCTTTATTGACACATCCCATTACCTCACCCATCTCATTTACTTCCTTCTATTCAAATGTGTTAAATGCACTGCATACACTTGACAAATGATGAAAGGTGAATAACATCTTTCAGAAAGGGGAACATTCGTCCCCTTTATCAACTGTCAGAACACAATAAAATCAAAAATACAAAAGCAGTGTCATGGATAAAGATTAATCACAAATTACTGAAACACTGGGATGATATTCACAGTAATCCTGAGCCAGTATAAAAGCTTAGTTTTCTCACTAACATGATAAAATATATGACAAGAAGCAACTTCAGGAAGAAAGGATCTATTCTGGCTTACAATTTGAGAGGACATAGTCATGAAGAAATACAACTAATCACTCAGTCCTTGAATAAGGTTAAAACTCTCCAGAAGGTTAAAAGTTTCTCCAGAAACTCTGGAGAAAAATCTCTGCCTACATGGAAATGGGTCAGCCTTATGGGTCTAATGGCAGGATATACTTTAGTCACACCTGGTAACTACTTGCCAGGCAGTCGGACACCATCCTGTCCATCTCTGTCTTTTCACGATCAAAGTAGCTTGGGTCCCTAGAAAATAAACCTAATAGGAAAAAAGAAAACAGAGTTATCCATAATTCTCACTTTTACAAACATGGATGTCATCCTATCCTAGTTCAAAATTCCCATATATTACAACACAGGAAATCAATCTCTCAAGCTCTCTCTGTCTCTCTGTCTCTTTCTCTCTCACACACACACACACGCACACATGCATGCACGCAGGCACACAGACACACACAACTCATCACATCTCATTTCATAGACACACAGGGCTGCCACACAGTACCAGAGTAGTCATCCTCAGAAAAAAAAAGGAATGGTAACCACACTGCCCATAAGGACAAGTATACCGGTCATATTTTACAAGTAAAGAACAATAAGTCCTAGAAACAGGGCCTATTACCTGCACATGGGTGAAGGGACTCATGGGTAAATCAAGTGCACTCATTATCAGCAACCTGGCTTATAAAACAGGCTTCAGCAACCCTTGCCAACTTCAGTCATCTGTATTAATTATTTTTCTTGTTGCTATGATAAAAAAAAATACCCAACAAGAAACAACTTTGGGGGCTGAAAAGATGGTTCAGTTATTAAGAGCACTTGTTGCTCTTACAGAGGACCTATGTTCAGCACCTACACAGTAATTCACAACCATCCATAACTCCAGCTTCAGAAGATCTAATGCCCTTTTATGACGTCCACAGGCACCAAGCACAAATGTGGTCCACAGACACACATGGAGGCAAAACACAGGTAAAAAATAAAAGGAAAAAAATCTTTTAAAAAATAAAAAGAAGCGGGCTGGAGAGATGGCTCAGAGGTTAAGAGCACTGGCTGCTCTTCCAGAGGTCCTGAGTTCAATTCCCAGCAACCACATGGTGGCTCACAACCATCTTGTACTGAGATCTGGTGCCCTCCTCTGGCATGTGGGCAAACATAGAGGCAGAATGTTGTATACATAATAAATAAATAAATAAATCTTTAAAAAAAAAATAAAAAGAAGCAACTTAAGAAAGAGTTTATTTTGGCTTATAGTTGAAGAGGATATAACCCTTAGAATATACTGGAACACTTATCTTCCAGAAACTGAAAGACACATCTGGGCAGTTCACTTGAGTGGCCAAGATGATCTCTCTCTGCAGAAGGCATGGCAGCAGGAATAGGAGGCTGGCTGGTTACATTGAATCAGCAGTCAGGAAACAGAGAATGAACAGAAAATAGGGCTGGGCTAAAAAAACCTCAACCACCCAATACTGAGCCACTTTTTCCAGCAAAGCTCCACCTCCTGAAAGTTCTACGACCTTTTCAAACAACACTACATGCAGCACCCCTATGTCATTGGGGTAATTTAGCATTCAAACCACAGACGCATCTCTGACCTGGCAGTAATCAGAGCACCAGCACCTATCTGTACAAAGAGCACACAACGCATGAGCTAGACTTACCATGGGACAAACTGATGGCTTCCATCATGAAAGGATGATTGTGAAATACACTGGAACACTCTCTTCCAGAATGTGAAGGACACGTCTAGGCAATTTATACATATAAGGGGTCAGTGGTGATCTTTCCTCTTTTTACATGGTGACTTGCATTCCTGAAGACACGGATCATTCATCAGAAAATCTTACCTATCAATAATCAAGCATCATAATTAGCTCTTTCTCTTTCTGATGCTGATATGAGCAAAAGCCACTAAAAATGATACACATCATCTGGAAAGATGGCTGAGCAGTTAAGAGCACTTTCTGATCTTCCAGAGGATCTGAGTTCAGTTTTCAGCACCCATGTTGGACTGATCACAACCACCTGTAACTCCAGCTCCAGGGGATCAATCACCCTCTTCTACCTCTGTGGGTACCTTCATACACTCATACAGACACACAGACAAACACACTCATAGACATAAATAAAAACTTAAAAATTAATTATCCTAAGGCATCAAGGGCTCCTATCATTAGTAGCATTTATGTTTAAAAACATAGATTCAAGCGGGCTGGAAAGATGGTTCAGTGGATAGAGTCCTTGTAACTCTTGCAGAGGACCTGGGTTCAGTTCCCAGCATCCACATGGTGGCTCACAACCATCCATAACTCTGGTTATTTTCTTCAGACCTCCACAGGTACCAGACACACAGATAGTGCACACACATGCAGGTAAAACACTCATACACAAAACAAACAAATTTTTTTGATGAACAAAAACATCTAGATTCAGAACCAGCAAAATAACTCAGCAGGTAAAGTGCTTACTGCTTGCTAGGCATGCTATCTGAGTGCAATCTCTGGGACCCATATGGTAGGAGAAAATTAACTCTTGAAAGTTGTCCTCTGACCTCCACTCATGCTGTCTGTACCCAATCCAGTAACACAAACTCAATAAATAAATTTATAAAGGGTCATATAACAAACAAACAAACAAACAAGACTCAAAAAGAAAAAAGAACATGCAATCGTTCCAATCTTCAACTTAGAGATGAACTAAAGCTTTAAGCACTTTGACGCTCAATTCTTATCTGGAAAATAGCACTTCTCAATGGGAGGAAGACATTCCTTAGAAAAGGACTTGTTTTCAAACTAGGACAAATAGAGGGGGGGGCTATTTCAGGAAAAGGGGAAAGGTTAGGAAACTCTAACAGAAAATAAAGCACTATACAAATAGACTAAAAACACTAGAAAAACTATACAGGGCTACTTCCAAACTCAGAGATGAGAAAGTTAGGTAAGGTCTGTGTAGAGTGGGAAGGTATGTAGGCCATTTAGTTGTCTGTCTTATCAGTGAAATACTAAGGAGAAAAGAAAGAATTATTAGTTTCTAGAGATACAAGTCATTTGGCTTATTTTTTTGTTATTTATAACAGATATACGATGTGGGATTCCCCTCTCTATGCTGTGAATACCATTGGTTAATAAAGAATCTGTCTTAGGTCTGGAAGGGAAGAATATAGGTAGGTAGGGAAAACCAAACTGAATGCTGGGAGAAAGAAGACAAAGTCAAGGAGGAAGACAAAGTCAAGGAGAAGCCATGTAGCCACCGCCAGGAACAGATGAGCCAGAACCTTGCCAGTAAGCCACAGCCATGTGGTGATACACAGATTAATAGAAATAGGTTAAATTAAGATGTAAGAGCTAGCCAATAAGAAGCTAGAGCTAATAGGCCAAGCAGTGATTTAATTAATACAGTTTCTGTGTGATTATTTCGAGTATGGGCAGCCGGGAACAAACAAGTGGCCTCTTACAAAAGATATAACTGATTTTATTTACTAGTGTTTTCCTTGATATATAAGAATTGTGTATTTTGGTGTATGGTGTAGTATTTCAGTACCATGTATAAAATATATAATGACCAGATGAGGGTAATTCAGAAATCAAACAAGAATGTTAAAAATGTGATGAAAAATCCAGCAAGGAAGTTGAGGGTGATAGTGAATGCCTTTATCCCCTGCACTTGGAAGGCAGATGGAGGCAGATCTGAGCTTGAGGCTAGTCTGCTCTACAGAGTGAGTTTCAGGACAGTCAGGGCTACAAAGAAACCTTTTTCAAAAAAATTCAAGAAAGAACATATTCCCAAAAAAGCCAAGAAGGACTAAAAAATGGATTTCTCTGACATTAGGAATGTGCCAAAGGCTAGGGAGGTAGTAAAGTGCTTTCTTAACTTGTACAGGGACCCAAGTGTTATTTTCAGGACCTATGTAAAAATGCCAGGTGTAGTGGTATGCAGTTGTAATCATGAACTAGAAAGGCAGAGAGACAGGAGGATCCCTGGGGATCCTTGGTCACAGTCTAGTCTAATCAGTAAGCTCCAGGCAAATGAGAGGCCCTGTTTCAGGAAATGGATGGCATCCCTGAATATGACACATGAGATCATTCTCTAGCCTCCACATACATGCACACACACATGGATTCAAACACAAATATGTATATATACACATGTGCACTTAAAAAAATGCCAAATCAATGTTCATACAGGATGTCATTAATGTCATGTCATACCTGTAGTCCTAGAAAAAGGTCGATACAGTAAGAATGTCTTCTGCAAAAACTGATGGCACCATTGTTGTAGTACTTCAGGTATCATTTGGAAAACGCCAACTATGTCCCTTGAGAAACAGACATAACGAGGTTACAGAACCGCTGAAACAGGCAATGAGCTGTGTTGGCCAGTATGTAAAGGAAGAATATCTTTAGCTGTTGACTAAATACAAGACAACCAGATGTGTTACTATACTACTGATCTTCAGGCTGAACAACAATATATGTCTCTGTTTTTATTATTATTCGTGCTACATCTGGCACAAACATTTAGGATACAAATTCATGAAAAGGCCATTTCCCGCTACACATGGCCAGAATCACCACCATACCAGCTAGGTTTTGCTTTCTTCTCTCCTGGCAGACTCTCCCTGAACCCCCTTCTCAGTCTGCTGCCAAACTAGATAGTTGACTTAAAATTCAGTCAATTTTCACTGTTCTACGCAGCAACAATAAGCGTCACATCTCCATAATCATTGTAAGCAGATTGGGTAAGACAATTGGAAATTCTTAGAGGGAAGAATTAGTTAAAAGATTTTTTCACATTAAAAAATGAAAAACACAGCCAGGCGATGGTGGCGCACGCCTTTAATCCCAGCACTTGGGAGGCAGAAGCAGGCAGATCTCTGTGAGTTCAAGACCAGCCTGGTCTACAGAGCTAGTTCCAGGACAGGCTCCAAAGCCACAGAGAAACCCTGTCTCGAAAAACCAAAAATAAAAAATGAAAAACACTATTACAATGGAGAGATTTGGGTCACAGTATGATAATACACTGGACAGCAATAAAATGGAACAATTAAATGAGATTAGATGGAATTCATTTAATGTCAATTATAAACATCTCATTTTATCACTAGAAAGTTGGTTAATCTGAGTGCTAAAATACAAGTTTTAGAAAAACGTAATAAAACAGATCATAAAGATATTCAAACCCAGACAGAGGATTTAATGGTAAATCAATTTCAGCATTGCATTTTAAGGCTAGAAAAGAACAGCCTAAGGTATCAAACAACCAACTTTAATATATCCAGTAACCTTCTGCCAAAAGAAAGAGGCTCTGTAAGCAATGAATGGACTCCTGTGCCAATGTTAGATTCAAGGAGACTCAAGAAAGCAATAGTCTCATATGGCATGCATTTACCTTTTGTGAAGCAAATGATGACTCATGGTCAGTTTGTAATAAAATTATCCCAAAAGACAAGACAGACTTGGTTAATGCTGTTTTAGAGCTTGGTCCACAATTACAATGGAAGACATGGTTGAGAGAAAAGGCTAACACTATTGAAAAACAGAGTGAAGCTAATGTTATTCTTTTTTAAAAAAAAATGCTGCAAGATCCCCACGGCAGTAGACAGCAGAAATGCTGTAGGTTCCAAATGGTGGTGGCGGGCCATGTGGTGGCAGGCAGCGGGCTCTAGGCGCAGCCAGTCCCAAGCAGAAATGGCTGCCGGTCCCAGAGCGGTGGTGGCGGGCCATGTGGCGGCAGACAGCGGGCTCTGGGAGCAGCCAGTCCCAGGCAGAGAACTGCTGGTCTCAGAGCAGTGGTGGCCAGCCATGTGGCAGCAGGCAGTGGGCCCCAGGCGGCTGCTGGTCCCTGAGCAATGGCTGGTCCAAGGCAGGGAGACACATGGCGGGTGGGCAGAAGACAGAAACATGGATAGACACGACATGCAGGGTGAGGTTGAATGTTTATTCAGGGGGTTATGGAGGAGGAAGGGTGAAGGGGGGGACAGAGAGAGAGGGAGAGAGAGAGAGAGAGAGAGAGAGAGAGAGAGAGAGAGAGAGAGAGAGAGAGAGAGAGAGAGAGAGAGACCCCCTAAATAAACATTCAACCTCACCCTGCATGTCATGTCTATCCATGTTTCTGTCTTCTGCCTGCCCGCCATGTGTCTCCCAGCCTGGAACCAGCCATTGCTCAGGGACCAGCAGCCGTCTCTGCCTGGGGCCCACTGCCTGCTGCCACATGGCCCGCCACCACTGCTCTGAGACCAGCAGCCATCTCTGCCTGGGACTGGCTGCTCCCAGAGCCTGCTGCCTGCCACCACATGGCCCGCCACCACCATTTGGGACCTACAGCATTTCTGCTGCCTACTGCCACGGGGATCTTGCAGCATTTTTTTAAAAAGAATAACATTTTGGTGCCGTGACTCGGATGATTTGCCCGCCCCAGACTTCCTCCTGGGGCTGGAGTTCCGGCTTTAGGCGCCGTCTGGGACTCTGAGCTCCTTCCTGGGGCAGAATCAGGACTCGAGGACCTTCTCTACAATGACCCACATGTTCCATCTGCCTGGATGCAGCTCCTCCAAACAACAAATCAACTAATCGTGAGTGTCCCCATCTCGGCCAGCTTAACCATCTCTTTTAACCCAAGGGATTGAGCTCCTGGCAACCCTTCACGGCTTTTAGGGATGGGGGACCTCCAACCGTGGGCTTTCAGGGCCTCGGTTGTTCCCTTCACTGGCATTCAATTCGGCTTGTCTCCTGTGCTAAGCCCGTGCCTGGGATGGCATTGCTTTAGCCAGCCCCTCAGCTCACCCGCGCCTGGAGGCCCGGGGTCTCCAGTTCTTCCTCTTTTTCTTTTTTCATTCCTTTTCTCCCTTCTTTTCGTCGTAACTGCTGCTACGCTGCTACGCTGCTTGGTGCAGCAGGCCACTACTGTGCGGCCTGACCTTGGCTGAATCCCTCCTGCCCGAGGCTGGAGTTGATTCAGCCAGGTTATAACACCACCCCCATGGAATCGGACGCCTTTTCCATAGGGCCTGCGGGTGTTCATGCCATCTGCATCTCGTCTTAACAGGGAGCCATTCTCGTTGTAGGCTTGAGGTGCCACGGTTTTTGTGGGTGTTTGCATGGCCTTGACCATGGGAGCCAAGCTATCCAGACCTATCACTCTGGCCTCATGCTTTAATGCCTCACACTTATCAGTTTTTGTTTAAAATGGCCCCAACTACCTTAAAAAAAAAATTAAATGGCCGGTTTTTTGGGTTCCAGCCTTTTGCCCCTCCCCTCTGCAGCTTTTGTTATGGCATGGCGGCTCACCAACAGAGCAGACAACATGTGGCGGTCACCATCTTGGCTGAGGGTCAGATGGGTCAGGTGACTTTTTCGCCATCTTGGCTGAAGGCCAGATGGGTCAGGTGACCTTTTCGCCATCTTGGCTGAGAGCCAGGTCATGTGACCACACTCTCCCGGTTTTACCCTGCCTTCTCACCAGGTTTCCACTAAAATCCTCCTGTTAACTTTGTTACATGTGTTTTGAGCAATGGCATGTCTCTGATAGGGCCCATCAGAGGCATCCACGTTGCCCAATTCTTGTTAACTCTCTCTATGTATAATAATTGTTTATTACATCTCATTTCAGACTACAAACCATGAGTCTCATATTTAAACTGGTATGTACCTTTAAGTCTCTTAAGCTGTTCTCTACCATTGTCAGTTCTGCCACTAACCTTATATTACAAGCATGTAAATCCTCAAATGTAAATCTTACCTGTTGAGAGCCAGTATGGTCAAGCTCAGACCCAACTTTTCAAACAAATTCTATACTATAGTTATACCTGATAAACAGCCCTCAACTGCTCAGAGATCTGGGGAATGTGATATTTAAGTATCTAATTATTAAAAAGTTTTCACGACAACAAAAAGAGACAGGTTGGCTCCTAGCAGCAGCTCTCTGCTCCCTCCAAAGAAGACAGAAGACAAATGGACACACGAAACAACGTCCTTCTGCGGTTCGCTTTGACTGCCGAGTGCTGACCATTGGGCAAACCTGCCTTTCGTCTAAAGTAAAGACCTCTCTAGAAGTGGACGGAATCACTGGAATCGACAGCCTAGCTGCTCAGGTCAAGGTAGGCCTGTCTTCCTACAGATTTCTTAGCCCACAGGGTCTTCTGGAGCCTGGCAGGCCCTGCGCTAAACAGCAAAGCTCAAGTGCAACCTTCCGCGACCATGGAGGACCCAAAAAGAGTAGCTCTGGGTGCCAACCAAGTAAGTTCTCTGTCGTTTTTTAATCAGTAACTCAAGTAAAATCTTATACTTCTCAAAGATCTCTGACAGTTTGACAGCTGAGAGGTTTCACCAGGTTGAGGTTTTGCAAGGTGACCTCACCAAACAAATTTCAAACCAAATTTATCTCTTATGCTACAGTCATTATATGTCTAAAACTTCTGTTTTCACAAACCCAAGGAGTTCTCGTGAGTTCCAGGGAGCCAA